GCCTAACTTTTCTAGGGCTTTTTGAATGAGCCATGAATTATTGAATTCGAACTAGCGGGAGCGGAGGACACACACACACACACACACACACACACACACACACACACACTGTACTTTATATATAAGATTTAAAGTTTAGGATACTATTTTCTCTTTGCCTTACTTTTTTTTTTATCTCTCTTTGTCTCTTTATTTCAATCTTTCCACCCGCTCTCTCTTTTCTCCGTCTTTCCTTTTTTTCTCTTCCCCAACGCACTGTCTTTCTCTCATGCCCACATGCAGTTATTGAAAGTTACCTGCAATAAAGTATTTTTATTGGAAACGAAATAAACCAATTGACTATGGCAATATGAATTTGATAGCGTAAAAAATAATGAAATATGTTGGAAAGGATACTGAAAAGTTAAACAAACCGATTTCTCAAAGTATTTCTAAATGAGCAAACAAGAATTATTTTTTGTTGCCTTCTTTTTAGTGACACAAGTGCATGTTTAAAAATGTTAACAAATATATAAATAAGGGCGTGTTTCTGTTTTTTTTTTTTCGAATTTCGAAGTTCGAAGAGACACACTTTTTATATATAGAAATTTATCTCACACTGATAGAATAGCTACAAATGATAGGAAATTGTGGAGAGGCATGATCAGCCACGTTCTGAAGGCAGATAGAACTAGAAGATAGAACAGAGTTTTAGGCACGCGAAGATAATTTTAAAAAAAAAACAAACTTAATATGTTTTTACTTTCTCGTGTACACACGCAATTTAACAGAGACGCACATATATAAACATATATATATATATGTGTGTGTGTGTGTGCGCGCGCACGCGCGTGCGAGTTTGTGCGCGGGCTCGCGCGTGTGCCTGTGTGTGCGTCAATATATTTTACACAGTTCAGCCGGCATTAATATGCGAAAGCAAAAGTCAGTGCCTCATTCTCAGCCTCTTTAAATATGGTACAAAAACGTCACATTTTAAGCGAACGAATGGGAGTAGCTTGGAGATCGTACTAAGATTAATTAAGCTAGACTTTAGTGGGATTAATCGCACCATTTATTAGTTTATACTACGGATAAAGCGAAAAAAACATCATGCTGGGAAACAATCTTTATATACTTGCGTGTGTGTGTGTCCACATATCTATCTATCTATCTATCTACATATATATATATAGATATAGATATATATTGTGTCTAGTATTTGTATCTGATAATTTAATTTGTTACCCCTCTTATCCACAATAATACCAATACATTTTCACACAAATTTGTTTGATGAAGGTGAACACAAAAACACGTCAAGCTGGTGAAACGCATCGTTCAAAATCTTTCTCACTTTTCCTAATCATCTGCAAACATATCTATATATATATATATATATATATATATATATATATATATATATATATATATATATGTGTGTGTGTGTGTGTGTGTGTGTGTGTGTGTGTGTGTGTGTGTGTGATGATTTCAAACTTCTAGGTCATTCTCTTGCACTCTTGATCTTTTTGTTTTGTATCTGTGTATGATGTTTGGTGAGAAAGAAATTCTGCCTCTCAACATATATCAATGCATATCAGTAATAATTAAAGGCAAGAGTGCAAAGCACTCATTGCGCAAATTCAAGTCCCAGTCAATTGAGGTTTTGTGGAAAATAAATTTCACAAAAACAGACAGATATATATATATATATATATATATATATATATATATATATATGCCTGTTTTTCTGTTAAAATTTATATATATATATATATATATATATATATATTTTTCTGTTAAAATATATATATATATATATATATATATATATATATATATATATATATATATATATATATATATGCCTGTTTTTCTGTTAAAATTTTTATATATATATATATATATATATATATAGATATATATATATATATATATATATATATATATATATATGGTTGTTTTTTGTTAAAATTTTTATGTAATTATATATTATATATATATATATATATATAGATAGATAGATATAGATAGATAATAAATAGATAGATAGATAGACGAGCAGATTAAAAAAGGTTGCTTGATACACAGATTTGCGTAATTTTATATTTTAATAATTCACATATATATATGCGCAACGTATTTATAAATTCATGGTCATATATGAGCATTTGTGTGTATATATATATATATATATATATATATATATATATATATATATATATATATATATATATATATATATATATATATATATATATATATATATATATAAATTCATGTATATACATATATATACATGAATTTATATATGTATATGTGGGGGGCACGCGCGCATATAATGGTCTATAGGCATACGAACACTTCCCTTCTAAAATTCATATGCACACTGACATATTAGAAGCAGAGTCACTCACATATGAGTGCAGGTATACACACAAGCATGCTCACGTACACATATATTATAATTAGCGATATACGTTTATTTTTGTATAAGATAAAATAAAATGCGATAATGTGTACGATAGTAAACTATCTAATGTATCTCTGCCTAAAAATACGTCTAAACAACATAGATACATACGTACGTATATGTGTGTGTGTGTGTGTGTGGCCAGGTTATGACCTTTTGCACCCTCTCAGACGGAGACACCCTCTAAATCGTCTGCGCTTACCTTGAATATTTTTATACTCGAGATATAATTTCGCCGAGTGACATTTATATAACTTGAGGTAAACTGATTACAAATTCTTTAAATAAATTTGAATAAAGTAATAAAACAATTAAAAAAAAATGAGTTCGTTTTATTGATGTCATTTCAGTTCATAAAACTATTTATAAACATGTAGAAATTTAAAATCACTGCTTCAGAAAAATCAGTAAGATTTGAACATTCTGAACTAAAATTAAACGTGTTATCTACTTGAATTAGAATGGCACAAACTAAAATATCGTTTTTCTTACTTTATTTCCTGCAAAGACAAATAAATAAGTTTATCATATGACATCAATTCAGTTTATGAAACTATTTGGAACATCGAGAAAATTAAAATCATCGCTTTATAAAATATGAAGGGTTCAAGGTTGCAGCTTATACTGGCCTAAAGGATAATCCGGTCCTGTACAAATGTATGTATATTTCTGAAGGATTATGGGATTTTTATTTTTAATTCGATATAGTGGATACCCGTGTATGAGAGGACGCCCTATCTTTTTAAACAATGACCGACAATAAAGGCAATGTGCATTCCGTCGTGGTGAACCTATTTTTTTCGTAGGAGAAACCAGCATCTGATATATTTAAGCCCGTCTACTGCACAAGTTGCTTTACATAATCCACACTGTTTACAAAAACAGAGCGTCTACTGAAACATGATTATCCACTATATATTTATATATATATATGTGTGTGTGTGTGTGTGTGCAGTCTTAGGTATTTGTTATCATAACTTGACCTGACCATAAATGGCTAATAAACTAATGTAATTACTAGACACCGCCAGTCGAACCTGCACCGTCAGAACTAGGCATATCATTCACATTGTAGCAGACCACCCTTATTCCTTTCGTAATCCTCTCGGGAGACGTAAGTTACAATCGAGCAGCTTCGTTCCGCGAAAGACTGCTCTGTGGAACCGACACTCAAGAGGATGTTTTCCCGATCACTACAATATTAACCTAAGTCTAGTGTTAACTGTTATCTTACCGAATTATCCGCATAAAATCTGCTTTTTGCTCTGTAACCCTCTACCTCGTGTGGCCCCTAGGCCTTATAATGGGTGTACTTCACTGTGAAAAAAAATATATATTTTAACAGTTTAATTTCCCATTCTGGCAAACACACACACACACACACACTCACACACACACATATAAATGTCTCTCTCTCTCTCTCTGTGTGTGTGTGTGTGTGTGTGTGTGTGTGTGTGTGTGTGTGTGTGTGTGTGTGTGTGTGTGTGTAAGCATTACCATTAGCGTAGCAACATCTTCTCAAACATATAAAAGGGTACGCCATGTTTTTGGACTTGGCAGCCATCACGAGAGATATCTAACACCTTCAAAATGGCCATTTGTACAGTAGTAAGAACAGCTAGCTGGCTCTAACATGATACCTCAGGAATATCCACTTTGATGCAGGCCAACATCATTACCTGGTTGTCGTGAACAACGAACGTCATGTCAGGCTGTCCCCACTTTTTCCTATAGTTCCACGCCTCAACGTCAACGCCCAAATCGAGGTCCTTGACACGGTGATCAAGGGGGATACATGTAGCAATTTTAGTCAACATCCTCTCCTGCCACATGATACGAGACACATTCAAGGAGGTCGATCAAAAAAAAAAAGCTAAAATATCTATTTGAAATGAAGTCCGCTATCTTTAGGTAATGGTCAGCAAGAGTAAGAAGAGTCCGACCCGGGAATGCAGCTGTTTGTGAAGCCGCCTCAAACCTTCGACATGATTGGGTTTAATTAAAAGAAACAACTTTTTTCTGGTTTCTTTTTTGTTTTTTTTGAGGTTTTTTTTTTCTTATGTTAAATAAATATACATCTTTGCCAAATATACTTATTGTTTTAAAATGCTTATCTTTTGAATTTTTAATTATACTGATTTACCTGACCTCTCCTACACACACAAACATGCACACACGCGCGCGCGCGCACACACACACACACATATGTACATACACACGCATATATATGTACACATACACACATATATGTACACACATACACACACACACATATATATATATATATATATATATATATATATATATATATGAAGAAAAAAATGAAATCTTTTGTTTAACAACGTGTTTCATCCTCTGATGGACTTTATCCAGGTAAATGTAAGAATTTTAATTTGTAACCTCTATTTATATAGAGAAATACAAATATCTTCAAAAATAACTATCAAAATTTTTTAATTAAAGAACGGTCAAATATATTCTTATGGCCAAATGTAAAAGTAAAGTTAAACTATAGAGATCGTAAGTGACGTTTATTTAACACCTATGAATTTTTTAATTTGTTTATATCTATCTATCTATCTATCTATCTATCTATCTATCTATATATATATATATATATATATATATATATATATATATATATATATATATATACATATATATACATATACTTATTTGTTTAATATTGAAGTATATTAAATTATAGCAAGTTTTGATTTAAAAGTGTTCTTTTAAGTTTAAAAATTTATTATATATTGGCTTAGGAGAGATATATTTTAGTAAGTGATGTATTTTTAAAAAAAATCGTGGTCAAAATTAAGATATTGTTAAAATTCGATAACGGCACTCACAAGTAAATTTCGGTCTCAGTAAGTTATTTTCTCTCATAATAAGTGTAAGATTCTTTAAATCGATGTTGTGGTTGAACTTATTTCTGTGTATGACTAAGGCATAAATTGTTATGTATCTTATCGCTTTTTGCTCATAGTAACGTTTTTTTCGATTTATCTAAAGAAGTGTATACATACATATATATATATATATATATATATATATATATATATATATTGACATTGCTACAAGTAGAACGATCCATCGATCCTTACGAGGACCCAAACTTAGCACAGAAATAAACTAATTTATTCAGAAACAAAGAAAAGGATATGCATTGTAAAAACTCACGCATTTTTGTAGTATGTATGCAAACTATCTCGGATAGATAGATAGATAGATAGATAGATAGATAGATAGATAGATAGATAGATAGATAGATATGAATGGACTAGGATAGATACATGGATATATATAGATAGATATGAATGGACTAGGATATATAGGTAGATAGATACTGAAAAGTTTGTTCGGTAGATAGATAGATAGATAGATAGATAGATATGAATGGACTAGGATATATAGGTAGATAGATACTGAAAAGTTTGTTAGATAGATAGATAGATAGATAGATAGATAGATAGATAGATAGATAGATAGATAGTGACCCTCAAGGATTGACGTATATAGCCTCCCCTACATGAATGTCGGAAAAGACAGCAGAAACAATTTAAGCAAATATTTAACTAAAAATCTCAACAACTGAACAACTCTCACTGTGGTTGGCGGACTAATTTTCTAGACGCTTACGAAATCTAGGGATTTCCATCGTCAGTGAATTCCACGCGTTTTCGGCTTTGCTTCGTATTAAGCGACACATCATATTTATCAATAATGACAACGTTTATACCCGAATCCCAGACAAAGAACGATTCATCTGACGCAAAATCCGCGCCGTCATAAAACACTACAAAGCTCAGAATTGGAAAAGTACCGGGTAAAATAATATCAGTAATCAATAATAATAATAATAATAATTGGGGATTCGAAGGCAGAATAAGCTTGTTCGATCCACGACCATGTTAGAATCGCGAAGACTATTGAAGAACCTTACTGTCGCTAGATTCTTGCAATAACCATAAGAAAATTTCGAGTGAAAAATAAATATATATGTGCTTAAATAAATGAATAATAATAATAATAATAATAATTGTGCACATGTGGATGTAGTGCTTGTGCTTGATATACCCTTAACAGACTGTCATTATGAGTAGAGAAGAAGAAGAAGAAGAAGAAGAAGAAGAAGAAGAAGAAGAAGAAGAAGAAGAAGAAGAAATAGGAAGAGAGCAGGATAAAATCTCAGAGTGGTGAAGGAGAAGTGATGTGTAGTTTGACAAATAGACACACAGACACGTACTAATACACAGGCAGACACACTCTCTTACACACACACACACACACACACACACACACACACACACACACATATGAATATATATGCTTATATCCAAGTCATGCACACACAAACACACAATATATAGGTTTATATAATATCTATATAACTAATATAACTATATCAAGTGATATATATATATATATATATATATATATATATATATATATATATATATATATATATATATATATATATAGTAAGAAAAGCTTTAAAATAAGCTAAAAGCTTAGAATATAAAATAAACTGATGGCTCAATGCTCAAATCGACAGAACCTAAATATGACATAATAATATTATTAATTCAATTACACTACAATCCGCTATTCAGAATTTCATTTAATAACAATCATTGGTAAGAAATATGTGTGTGTGTGTGTCTGTGTGTGTGTGTGTGTGTGTGTGTGTCTGTGTGTCTGTGTGTGTCTGTGTGTCTGTGTCACGTCTGTGTGTGCATATTATGATATTTGTTATACAGAAATACATACATGCATATATATATATATATATATGCATGTATGTATATATGACAAATGCACCTTGCGTCTGATTGCGTAATGGGAAGAGTATAGAAGATTTTTCTGTAAAACAAATATCATAATATGATATCGAGGTTTTAAAAAATGAAAGGACGAATGTGGAATTCGCTTTCGACTATAATAGTTGAATTTGAATAATATTAGTAGATGTAATAAGAGCAATGATCCAATTAACAATAATAATAATAATAATAGATTTACTTAAGAGCTATTTTAATATTGGTCTTAACTCTTAAAGAACAATAAGACGAGCATACGCACATACATGTACAGACATTTCTATGAGGTGTTGGGCCTCGTTTGTGTTCGTGAAAAGTATAGAAGACGTAGAAGAAAAAAAAACACGAGCCAAATATAATTATGTTGTAAGTGATTGTAGCAGTAATGATCATTTTATACCTTTTTCATTATCGCATAACAGCCGTGTCGTTATTGTCTGTTTGCCCTCTTGTCAGCCTATGAACACATCGTCCACATTCCATAGTGAGACGAGGCGTTTACGGTGTCATAAAAAAGTAGCTGAAACTTGCACAGTATCAAAATCAAGACAGGCGCAGTCAGTTAGCTCATTTTCACAATACAGACTTATTCACGCACACAGACACGCACGAGCGCGCCAACGTATACATCTACGCAGGTTATATTAACTTCAATACACACTGAAGGTTGTATGTTTTATACTGAAGCCTCCCCCCCCCCCCGCCACCTCGAGAAACATGCCATAAACAGACACCGGCGCAAGACAATAAGAAGACACCGTCGTACGCACGTACAGCGCGTGTCTATAAACATTGGTAGTAAGACGATGGTACAGAATAAACCTCTGTCGAAAGCACAGACATGTGCCATGGAAAAAGGCGAGAAAATATACACAATACGTACGTGTACACGTTGCGATTTAGACGTCATTATTTTGAAAATATAATTGAATAAAAAAAGTGTATGAGTTAATCCAATCTTTTCATATCTATCTGAATGTGTTCATTTTCCTCAATGCCACTTTCTCTCTCTCTCTCTCTCTCTCTCTCTCTCTCTCTCTATCTGTCTATTTATACATGTAAGAAGCCTTTTCATATCTATCTATCTAACTAACGAGCTATAATCGTCCTTTTCATATCTATCTATCTATCTATCTATCTATCTATCTATCTATCTAGGGAACTATTTCAGACTTTTCTTATATATCTAAATCTGTACATCTCTCTTTCTATCTCTCTATCTATCTATACATGTAAGTCTTTTCATTATCTATCTATCTATCTATCTATCTATCTATCTATCTATCTATGTGTCTCATAATTCTTTTACTCGTTTTATTTTTATCTTTCTTTTCCTGTTCCTATGTATTTCATTTTTCTTTTTCTTTCAGTCTATGAATGTTTTCTTTCCTGTCAATCAATCACTGTTCGTCAGTAGTTTTGTGTCCCAGTCTGTTAAATTATTAGTCTCTCTACTCTCTACTTTCTATTCTCTCTCACATCACTCTCTCTATCACTTTCTCCTATCTCCATCTCTTTCAGTCCACTCTCCGTTTCCTCTAATCTCACGTACTCTAATCTCTCTTTCTCTCTTTCTCTCTCTCTAACGATCGCTAAAGCGTGAAACCCAGGGTCACAAACTCACATCTATCCAACCAAATATGTTAGCTCTATCTCTGATATTGAGCGCTTAATATCATACTGCGCATATAATATATAAATAATTATACATATATATATATTTATTTATATTTATATACACTTTTCACACACACACACACACACACATATATATATATATATATATCACGCAGATACTCTATCCCTATCTCACTTTCTCTGACTGTATTTACTCCATCATTACACATTCTGCTATCTCTCTCTCTTTCTCACTATACTCTCTCTCTCAATCTGCTCCTAAATCACGCTTTTACTCTGCTCTCTCTCTCTCTCCCTCATTCTACTCCTATATCTATCTATCTATCTATCTATCTATCTATCTATCTATCTATCTATCTATCTATCTATCTATCTATCCTAGTTCTTTGATATCTATCTATCTATCTATCTATCTATCTATCTATCTATCTATCTATCTATCTATCTATCTATCTATCTCTTTCACTCTATTCCTATCTCACTCTCAATATACTCTCTCATCTCATACTGTACTCCCCACCTTAGTCTACTATCTCTTTGCCCACTCTCTCTCTCTTAATCTATTCTCTCTCTTTCCCCATCTAACCATATCTCCGCTATACTGAATATTACAAGATAAGAGTCTCAACACGCACACACACAAACACACACGATTTATTCACTCAAATGTACACGTGTGTCTCTAAAAAAAAGACAGAAAAATACTATGAATATTTTCAAGTGTATATACACATTAACATGCCGACTTTGAAACTTTCTAACATTCATTAAAATCACTGGGTGTATATTAAAATAAGAATCCTTTAAAAAGGGAGGTTTACAGTATTGTTTTTTTTTTTTTTTAAATAGCTGGCCCCTTTATTTTTGGATTTATTCCCAGTGACAAAACACATGCAAAATCTGATTGTTTTTATTCAACATTTTTTTCCTAGGGTAGGGATGAGGTAACTTGCTTCATCGAACGTCAGCTGGTAGCAATTTAACTACCCGATATAACACCATCACCAGCCACTACAAGCAAAGTTTTTGTTTGTTATATTTCTTTACTGATGTCACTGCTGCTGCTGCTGCTGCCTCCATCACTGCCACTACTACTAGGAAAAACAACACACACCTTGCTGTATATGGGAGAAAAATATACTCGTGTCTTAGAAGTTACGAATTGTTTAGTTTTGAAGAGGCTTCTCTCATTTGATATGTGCGTTCGCGTTTGTGTGTGAGTACATGCGAGTCTAGAATAAAAGATAGTAAGAATACACGCGTGAGAGAGAAGAAAGGAGACGAAGAAACGGAGACAAGAAATGAGGAGAGAGAGAGAGAGAGAGAGAGAGAGAGAGAGAGAGAGAGAGAGAGAGCAGAGACAAAGGGACGAGTTATCATTTAATAATGTTCGCTTTGTTTGACACAAGGCCACATAATATGAGGCATGCATTGGAAATCTAACTAATAACAATGACTTCATGCCTCACTCTCTTTCTAATGTTTAACCAGACTTGCTGCCATGCAAATACTTCAGGTTTGAGGTGCCCGACAAAAGGAGGGGAGATCTATGTGTTCCTTTTTGAAATAAAAAAGTGCTCATTTGTGGAAACCGTCGATAATTTTAACATTTACATATCTGAAATATAATCACGTATTGTTGGGCACCTTGACGTGATGTAATGATTATCACACCACGACAGTGTAGTGAGTTCGATCTTCCATGGGTGCTCCACATACTTTCGGCCTTGTGCCGGACGTAAGCTACGCTTAGAAAACCACCAATATATGAATTTGAATTAACCACGTCTGGTTGGACACCTCAACGTGTTGTAATAACGGTTAAGCAAGAATTACGACTGAGTAGGGATTTCGATCCTCACTGGGTACCCCATACTTTTGGCCTTGTGCCACATTTAAGTTACACTTAGTAAATCATTACAACTACATTTGGTGCGAAGACATACTTGTAAAGAACACATCTGGTATCGAATCTATGATCTGCATCTTGTGAGGAAAATGCTTTTAATACGAACGTTTTACAAACGCGTATGTGTGCATATATAAAAAGATGTTGTGGATGATGGAATTAGTGTCTGTCTCCTTTTTTTTCTGGAAATCTGTTTTTCTTAATGAATTACTTAACTAAATTTATACCAGCACAAAATATAGGAATACTGTGTTGTGACAATCTTTCCAGGGAGATCGAACCTGATTGCTTGTCAGTATTTTGTTTGTTTTGTTTTGTTTTAGGTCTTATCAACCACATTGGGTTATTTAATACCGACAAAATATTTTTTATTGCTGGTAATATTTTCTCCAAAAATGTACTGCTGGTAATATTTTTTCTTTTCAAAAATCTACTGCTGGTAATATATTTTGCTTCAAAAATCTATTGCTGCTAACATTTTTTTTTCAAAAGAAGGTATAGCTGGTAATTTTTTTTTTTTTTTATCTAAAATGTATTGCTAGTAATAATGTATTTCTTGTAATAACTTTTTTACAAAAAAGTATTTCTGGTATTGAAACCTATTTTTACATTTTCATGATGTTTTGACCCTAGTTTAGGGGCTAACTATTTGCCTATCGTTGGGACCCTAACAAGTGCTACCACTCCAGGTCAAGGTGGGCCTGTTAACACCAGCAATTATGAAGTGCTTTCAAGGTCTTCAAAACATGATCAGATGCCTTGCTGTCGGGCGTAGTTTATCGTCTTACCCAGGACGCCTGATGTAATTTATACCCAGCTCAGTTGTCAGTATTCGAAATCATGACTCTTTTTTTCTTTCTTTTTTTTTTACCTCTGATTGAATCCGGAGGGAGCTGCTGAAAATCAACTATCTTGACTATGAAACAGGACACGAGTCTTCGTATAACGAGAACATCTTCTTCTTCTTCTTCTTCTTCTTCTTCTTCTTCTTGTCGTCGTAGTTGTTGTTGTTGTTGTTGTTGTTGTTCTTCTTCTTCTTCTTCTTCTTCTTCTTCTTCTTCTTCTTCTTGTTCAATTTCTCCCCACCCACTCTTTTTCCCTCTGTGTTTTCCCATTCTCTCATTGTGCATTTTATGAATAGAGATCCCCGTGTGTATATATATATATATATATATATATATATGTCTGTAGAACGGACAAGTTGTAACATGCCATTTTCTTCGATAGCACGTTAATGTGTGTACATTGCAAGAAGGCTTGTGTGGGTTAATCGAAAAGATAGCGTTGGTTGGTGGTTTTCAAGAACGAATTTATTCATTGGGACCGACAAATAACTTGCAGACTGTTCCGTTTCGTTAAAAGCTGAATGCATCACAACGAACTCTAACCTCAGGTGTGTGCAAGCATTTTAGGTGCAAATTTACATTTGTTCGACTGTAATTAAGAAAGAAAGTAAATGAATGAGAAAGTAAGGGGAGATGTAGATGAGAAGATAAGCAAAATATTAGAAAAAAACTAGAGAGAGACTGCAATAAAGTTAGTGAGAAAGAGAAAGGAAGAGGAAAAATTTAAATTAACAAAGAAAAAGCGTAAAAAAAGGGTGATGGAAAAGAGGGAGGGGAAAATAAAAGTGAAGACGTAAAAGAGATAAAGAAGAAAAATGTGACGAAAAATAGAAAAAAATGAAAAGGGAAAATCAAACAAATAAATAAATAAATAAAGAAAGAACGAAAGAAAGAAAGAAAGAAAGAAAGAAAGAAAGAAAGAAAGAAAGAAAGAAAAAAAAGAAAGAAAGTGAAGTCAATAAAATGCAAAAAAAAAAAAAAAAAGAGAGAGATAGCGAGAAAAGTGTCAGAAAGAAAAAGAAAGAAAGACCTCGAAAGAAATCGAGGAAGAAAATGAAAAAGATAAGAAAAAGACGAAAGTTAAAAAAAAAATAATAATAAAAGGAGAGGGAAGGTGAGGGGAGAGAAGTAAAAATCAAAGAGACAATAAAAAAGAGACTAAAAAGTCAGTATAAAAAAAAGAAATAATAGAAAAAGGAAAAGGGAAGAAAGAGAAAAAAAAGAAAAGAAAAGGGAAGGAAATAAAGGAAGACGATAAGAAACTGATGGAGAGAGTTGGGGGAGAAAGAAAGAAAGAAAGAAAGAAAGAAAGAAAGAAAGAAAGAAAGAAAGAAAGAAGTGGGAAACAGTTTATGCTTGTTTGCGTGTGAGTGTTTGAAGTAACATTGCCGGCGGCGGTAC